CAATCAAGTCCCACAGTAGAGAAATAATTACTAAAAAGTCTCAATAACAACCTGAGTAACCTGTAATAACAAGTCTTATAGTAGAGAATTACAACATCTGGGATTTGTTTTATAATTTTTTTCCTTCCATGTGACTTGATTGTAATTTTTCCAAAAAATAAATAATTAAGCACAAAATTAAACAAAAAGGTATTGTAAGTATGACTGGAAGGAGCAGCACTCATCTCATATGTAAGTCACTTATATCTCATTTTCACATATAAATAAATGTAGTAATTTTATAAAAAAATTTCACATTTCCCCTTATTAAAGAAAGGGTACTGTAGAAAATATGTTATCCATTTTCTCTCACATGTTTTTTATTGTATTTAACAGGGATAAATTTAAAAAAAAAATGTTATCAATCATCATACAAGTGACTTACATATAGGACCAAAGTGGTGTGACATGAATGAATTATGGAATGAAATTTATATTTTATATCTAAAGAGCAAAAATAAATGTGAATTAGGCTTTTTTAACTCTATCAAAATTGGAAATGTAGGTACAAATATTTAAATGTTGATCAATAAAAGATATAAATGTATACGCATTAATTCATATAAGATTGAATTGTGATTGCATAGCCAAAGTTATGGAATGATAATCAGGAATACAGTGGATTGCTTTATGATGCCAGCCAGACAGTATTATGAATCACCAGCTTGCATTAGATTGGAACTTTTTCAGAGATACCATGTAAGGCCTAAAAGTGTTGGGCCATTTTCTCTATTCTGTTTCCAATTTTCTGGAGTTTCAGGAGTTGGCCCAAAAAACAGTTTGACTTTTTAATTGAATGGGCCTTAGCTATGAGCTAACGTATGTGGGCCGTTTTTCTCAGCCCGTAAACTTTCAGCATGTGAAACAATATAAATTTAATTTGTAGGAAAACCATATTAGAGGTGCCTATATTTTTTCTCAATTTTTCATTTGATATCTATATATTTTTTCTCTTAAGTAAATCATTTAATTTTTCTTTTTTTAGCGACACTAGCTCTAGTAGTTTTGTTCTATTAGCATTTTTAGTATCTGTATAAGGGTTAACGATATTAATAGAGTAAAATTAAAGATTTAATTAAAAAATACATAGGTATCAAATTAAAAATTAAAAAAAGTATAGGTACTCCAAAATGATTTTTTCTTAATTTTTATAACTTTATTTTTTATTCTCAGAATTTAAAATGAAAATAATATTTTAACTATCTCCTGTTAAAAAATAAAATAAAGGGAAAACCATATTGGAGGTACCTATATTTTTTGTAAATTTTCAATTTGGTACCTATATGTTTTTTGTTCTTAACTAAATCTTTAATTTTGCTCAATTAACATCATTAATTCTTATATAAAGACTAAAAATGCCAATAGGACAAAGTTATAAGAGCTAATGTTGCTAAAAAAAATAAAATTAAATGTTTAATCAAGAGGAAAAAACACATAGGTACCAAATTAAAAATTGAGAGAAAGTAGAGGTACCTATGATATGGTTTTCCCTAAAATAAAATATATCATTAATAAAGCTTTTTAGCCTAGTAGACTCAATGCAGTCATTAATAATTCAAAACTTTAGTCCAAATTTCATCACAATGTGCCCACATATGATCCCAAGTTCTTTCGATAAATAAAATGTCCAAAAAGAATTGGCGATAATTTAAAATAAAGATATTGATGATTTAGACTATGGGCTATAATGATCCAATTTCTCTGTGTCATTCCACTGATCCAATTCAAAAGTCCGAAGCCAAGCCATCGTATTGGATCCACCTAAAAATTGGACTATAAGTCCAAACTTTCACAGCCACGTACCCATAGGCTTTCTAGAAGAGTTTTAGATTTTTGGCCATGCTAGCACGGTTAGCCCCCGTAATTATCATTAGTCCCTATACAAGGGCTTGACAATGCTGACGCAGCAAAATTAAATATTTAAATAAAAAAAAGGCAAAAATTGTAACAAAATTCTATCCAAGAGAATTAAATACAAAAAAATCTCTTAAAATAATCAAATTATTTCAAAGTCCCAAAAAACTTCATTACAAGAAGTTTTATTTGTTTAATTGTCAAATTATCTTTTTTGTAATTATACATTAACAACTGAAAGAGTAGTTGTTAATAATTTAAGGTATGATAATTAACAATTATCATGATAGGTATTAACAATACATTTTCTTAATGCATCATAAAAATATAATGCATGAATTATTAAGTCCCATTTGGTAAGAGCACTGAAAATGAAGGATAAGGATTGGGATTACAATTAAGAAAAATCATTCAAATAGTATTTAGTATGAATAATTACTTGTTATATGGGATTAGGCAAATCTACATATGTGGCATTCCCTGTTTGTTATATGGGATTAGACAAACCCATATATTTAGTATTATGCAAACCCATATATGTGGTATTAGGGAATACCACATACATGAGTTTATCTAATCCCATATAACAAGCAATCTCTCATATTAAGCATTTTTTAATAGATTTTCTTAGAATAATTTACTAATTAAATTCTTAGAATTTCAAAATAATTTAATAATTTAAAAAGACTTTTTTCGTATTTAATTATCTTAGATGAGACTTTATTATAATTTTTTTAAAAAAATTGTGAGTCCGCCGCTTCCTCGAAGATTTTTAGAAGCTGACTATGATTAAAAAAAAAATGTTAAATCAAGAAAACCGGAGAAAAAGAAATCCAGGATGGCGATAATTTTTAGGATCAATAGCATTATTAGTCCCTATAGTCAGATCAAATTTTGATTTCGGTTTTAGAGCTTCAAATAATTTGTTTTGGTCTCTATAGTTTCATAAAACATTGATTTGAGTTCAATGAATGGTTATTATATTTTTAACAAGATTTTGTTTTGATCTTTATATTTAAAATCAGACCAATTTTGTTTTATGAAATTAATTATATAGATCAAGACTAACGATCCAAAATCAAAATTCCATCCAACTACAAGGACTAACCATAAGATTAACCCAATATATTACTGCAAAATCACTTACAGCTTATTCTTATTCTATTTTTATTTATTATTCATCTCTACATATATATATCTTTTATTAGGTTTAGTTTCTTGTTTTAAAATGTAACAACATAAAAATAAAACCCCTTATCACTATTTATTTAACATCAAAACAAAAGAAAACCGTGCCACTGTTTCAAATGTGCTTTCCCATTAACTATAATTAAATATAGATACAAGCATCTGTCTGAAAATTTTTTTTTAAAAAATTTGGGTCATATTCAAATTATTTTACATAAGCAATTGCGCTGACATATAAATTACCTATAAATCATATCCCACCAAAAATTAAAACCAATGTGTTAAAAAGATATCCTATTTCTTCTAACTGATGAATCCAAGCCATGCATTTGATTATTAAAGAGAAAAAAATAAAATAAAATGAAATGAAATGAAAAAGACTTGCCAAGCGAATTAAAAGGTGGTCAGCATCAATTAAATTATAAGTATGACAGAATTATTTTATTTTCCAAAACGTTTGTCTCATTCTAATAATTCATCATTTCAGTGATTGAATGTTGCACTAGTCCATATCATATTGACAAAAATAGATTAAAAATGCTTGCTTCAATCATTTTCAATCTCAAGTCATATACTCTTTCAATTGCCATCACAAGAAAAATTGAGATTTATGTTGCATGTTCACTTCATTAAAAGAAATACCTCGAATAATAATTAATTTAAGGGAGAATGACAACTGTTAATACTTTTCCGGTCCTTAATATAATATCCATTTAACTAATTTGATTAAATTAAAGAGGTTAGGTAAGTTAGTTAATTGCAAAAAAAATGACACATATTTACTAAAACACTATAATCATCTTTTTTAATACCTTATCTCCTTTTTCTATTTGATTATGGTTAAAGGAGTATCTATAAGGGTAATTTAAAGAAAACTGATAAATATGAGAAGTGGGTCTTATATTTAGGATAAAAAATAACTCAAAAATTGGGTCATATATTAAGGATCAGAAGAGTACTATAACAAGATTTTGTTCTAAAAAAAAATATTATGAAAACTGAAATATAGAAAAATGAGTACCAAATTTGAAAAGAAAATTTGTGGTGAGTTTTTTGATTTGGCATTGACTCTCTCATAAAATCGTCAATTGTCATTCCCCCTTAATTATAAATTTTATAATTTCAGTATTTCACATTAAATTGAAGGTTCTAAACTTCTAATTTTACTGATGAAACGCTAATAACAAGATTAACTGTCAATTCCCTGTTAAGATCAATTAGGGAAGTTGCCACTTCCCAACACCTTAAAACAACCGACAACCTTTTTAATGGAAACATAGCACCTATTTTTGTATTTTATGCATTGTTGAATAATATTTCTAAAAAAATTAAAAAAATTAAAGGTTTTTCTTTGATTTTCCCGTCATTAAATAAATACTAATTTTAATTATTTTCATTAATAATAATATTGTAATTACATTTTTTATTTTTCAGTTTTAATAAAGAATTAAAAAAATTCCTGAATTTTTATAATTATAACATGTTAAATAATAAATTTAATAAAGAAAAATAAAATGGTTTGCTGATATTAATTTACTACTTATTTATTATTTGCTAAAATGGTACACATACAGCACTAACCGATATATCATAGTTCCACTTTAAATATGGTTATTATTCACATTTTACTATGTGATATTTTTAAATATACGAACACAATAACTATATTTTTCTTCAAAAAAAATTTCTTAAATATAATTGATATGTTTTTGCTAATCAGGAGAGTGTTTGGATAGAAACCAAACCATAATTTTAAAAATAATTTTACAGTATACAAAATAAATATGTAAAATAATTTATTTTGATTTATAAAAAAAATATTTTAAAAAAGCTCTTCCAAGTTCCAACGGTTTCAAACACCGCCTGAATATAATTAATATAGCTGTCTTCCCTATAAGTGAATCGAAAATAGAACTGGGAAGGAGACACGGAGCTTCAGGGGCTGAATAGTTCAGAAAACAAGATTCAACGAAGCTCCCTGTACTCATGAATGAACCTGAACCCGTGGGCGGCGACGCGTTCTCTCTCTCTCCAATGATAAGCTTTTGATTCTCATTCCTTACACAATACCAGAGTGAACAGGTCGCCGGAGATTTAGTTGAGTTCCCTCATCCATTTGGGACTTTGATTTCTTGGCGGAATTCGTGTGCTGAGTTTTGTATCTCGAATTCTCTCCATTGGCAATTCAGTGGCTTCACTCACCCGGAGAATTCGCAACTAAGAGCTTGATCTCGCTGTAAGTCGGTAAAACTCATCATAGAGGTTTTGCTTTTCATCCATTGGATCATCCCAGCGGGTTTTTGTGGATTTTCTTTTTCATCTCGAGACCTATAGATTAAGAGGGAAACTGCGTGTTTTTATGCTCGGTCGAACTTTTGAAATCATAAGGTAGCGAGAGCCAATTTTGAGTGAGAAAATTTGTGCATTGTTTTATTCTTTAACACATTGCTTTCATAATTTCTCATAATCTGTTTTTTTATTTGGGGGTGATATTCTCACAATCTTTTTATCCTACGTGATTTTTATTTCTTGAAATTCTGTGGGATTGATGTTCATATAGTTTCAATATTTCTGAAGGATCTCATGCTTCACAGTTCAGCATAGAACACGCTGGATTTCAAGAAAGCCATGACTTGGGCTTCGCCCAAAGATTCTCCGAGGATGTCTTCCCATTTTAGTTCCCATCCAAGGCCTCTTTCTTGGATTGTTATTTCTGTGGGATTGCTGGCATTATTCTTAATTGTTGCTTCCTCGATTCTTGTATCATACCCAATTGGTGCCGCGGTTCGTGGATACTTCTACGGTGTAAATAGTTCGGAAAACTTAGATTCAACTGATTCTTCTTCCATGAGAAATGCTATTGATGTTCACTTGAATAATTCTTCAGATCCAGTAGATAGAAAAGCATTACCTGATCTACATTCTCCCACGAATTTGGCTAGTCCATCTAGTGATAGCACCGTAGAACGCATGGATACTAAATCAGATTCCCAAGTGCGCTTCAATGAATCTACTTCAACAAAATTTCCAAAAACCGAGGAGGTGAAAAGCCCAGAAACTTCTGATGCGCAATCACCTGTGATTACGTCTGACAATAGTCCAGATGTGGTTAACAGTGGCTTGCCTATTCAGTACAATTCATCAAATGTGATGGGAAATGCTACAGTCAATGAACCTGTTTCTATGGTTTCGATGAATAAATCCACTGATATAAGCACACCATTAAATGAAACGTCGCAGTATCCTTCTGATTCCTCATCAACAGCAGCTCCAGCATCAGCTGATGCAGCAAATAATGCATCGTATGAATCAGGTTATTTTTCTCGTCTTTTAGGCTCCACAAACTTGTTATCAACTTATCATCTTATGTGGCGTTTGTTTATTTATTTATTTTGTGTATTTCACAAATGCCTGAAATAGTTTCACCATTTTACTGCTTAATTCATTGCTGGCATGTACATGACTTCTTGATTTAATTGAATTTAAATTAAATGGCGTCTATTCACTATACGTTCAATCAACTTTCAATAAGAAACGACACAGAGCATGGAATTTGCTCTCGTTTCATGCATGTGGAAAACCAGACTCACACAAGAGCAATAGCCTGGGTGAATTTGTACCATTCTTCCACTGTATACAGTCTGAAATTCCACATGTTGAGGTTTCAAATCTAGTCCTGATTATTCTGGTGTTAATTCTCAATTACATGCCAGGTAGAAAGAAATTCAGAAGCATGAATTAATGAGAACTGTGAACAATGATATGACTGTAATGGTGTTACTAGCCATATGTTTGTCTGTCTCTAGGAGAGCTTGATATGAAATGCTGTAGCTCTACCAAGTCAGGATGACTTCCGTTTTAGAGTTTAACTTCAAGTATTTTACTCTCTCAAAGGAGCCAGCAGATATGTGAATTTCTTTTAATTGGTTTGGGGTGGTAAATGTAATGTGATTATGCCATGGGTTGGAAATTTAGGGTTCTTTCCTCAAAAAAGACTAACGTGGTTTGTATTTGGGGTCAAGTGCCAGTTTCATCGCCCTAGACGGTGGTTACTGCGGTTTCTTGTAGAACTGGTCTCCATCCAGGTATAGATCAGATTTTTGGAAGATTAGAACTCCTTCTGAGGTCAAGGCTTTATTTTGACTTCCATATGCATATAACTGGTACTATGTTAGAGTTGCAGAGGCCTTAAAAATTTGTTGTTTTAATAATTTTTTTTGCAAAGCCTGTAGCATGGTCATGTCGAATATACAGCCATGCATCTTTTATGCATGCAGTTGGCTACAGTGTCTGGCTGCCAAATTTGAGAGAGATATTTAACTATGACATATATCCAGATACATATGTAATCTTCATACCATTGTGGAGCTAATGCTATTTCTAGCTGGATTTTGTTGCTCTAAGAATCTCATAAGGACTGTGACTGGAGCCCGTGATTGATAAATTTTGGTAGTTCAGCGTTTATTCCCTTCCTGATTTAGGCAGATATCCTATACTGTTCTCCTTTCCCCCCCTTCTTTTTCACTTTTTCTTCTTTTTGGTGAAAAGTGGAATAGGTTATTGGACAGTGTTTGCAAATTGAAGTACCGAATACTGGCACAGGACAGAAAAGATATAAATAGCAGAAAATAAGTTAATATTTTAAAATTAACCTTATGTTTTTTATTTTCCATTCCGTGATTGAGTTGGTAGTAGTATCTAAAATTATGGACATGCTTATTCTGTTTAGTCCTTGTAAGTAATGTAATTTTCGAGATCCTAGACTCTTCTACAATGCCAGTGAACCGATGAAGAATTGCACACAAGTTCTTGTCATAATCGTATTATAACTAAAATTTTAAACTTCATTGTTTTATTATTAGAGGTAAAGTGTTCAGTCAAAAGTAGTCTAGCTGTATGTATTATGGAGGAAAAATCTTAAAAACATATTATACTACATTTAAGGTGGGGCGGCATCAGCACTATCATTACATCTCAGTCTGGGTAACTTTATGTGTCCCAAGAATTGTTCGTAGACCATGGTTATACCGCTTTCTTTTAAAATATATTGGCTTTTGATTTACTTTTGTGACTTTGGTGTTTTAAGCTTGTGTTATTCATCTATTATGTAGGCTGTGATCTGTACCATGGAACTTGGGTGCATGACCCATTAGGACCATTATACACGAACAATTCTTGCCCTGTATTGACACAGATGCAGAACTGCCAGGGCAATGGGAGGCCTGATAAGGATTATGAAAATTGGAGATGGAAGCCCTTGCAGTGTGATCTCCCAAGGTTTGATCCCAAGAAATTTTTGGAACTCATGAGGGGTAAAACCTTGGCCTTCATTGGAGATTCAGTGGCTCGAAATCAGATGGAATCAATGCTTTGTATTCTTTGGCAGGTTATTTTCCTGGTTCCTTGATCTAATTTTCTTAAAAAGAATAAAATGATCTTTTTAGATGCCAGTCAGCAGAAGGCAGAAAGCACTTGATTATACGAATGTTCTACATGTGTGGAGTTTGTGTGGGTGTCTATTTTTAAAAGTTAGTTTCTTAACTGAAGTTTTTAGTATTTTTCAGGTAGAGGCACCTAAAAATCGAGGAAATCGTCACATGCAGCGATATTATTTCAAGTCTACATCTGTGATGATTGTTCGTATATGGTCCTCATGGCTTGTCAAACACGTGTCTGACCCATTTGATTATGCTCCAGCAGGGGTTGACAAGCTCCATCTCGATGCCCCTGATGACATTCTCATGGAACATATTCCAAACTTTGATGTGGTGGTTCTATCTTCTGGCCATTGGTTTGCCAAGCAGTCTGTGTATATTCTGAACAACGAGATAGTGGGAGGACAGTTGTGGTGGCCTGACAAGTCTCGGCCTATGAAGATAAATAACATAGAAGCATTTGGAGTATCTGTTGAGACAATCCTTACTGCCCTTGCAACACATCCAAATTATACAGGGCTCACAATTGTGCGTTCCTATTCACCTGATCATTATGAAGGCGGGGCCTGGAACACTGGCGGGTCATGCACTGGGAAGGAAAAGCCCCTTGCACCTGGCCAATTGGTAGAAAATGGTTTTACAAATATAATGCACGAGAAACAGGTTACAGGTTTTAACCGTGCAGTAAAAAAGGCTACAAATAAATCAAAGTTGAGATTAATGGATATCACTGAAGCCTTTTCGTACCGCCATGATGGTCATCCTGGTCCATACAGGAACCCTGACCCAAATAAGAAAACAAAACGAGGTCCAGATGGAAGACCCCCACCACAGGATTGCTTGCACTGGTGTATGCCAGGTCCTGTTGATACTTGGAATGAACTGGTATTTGAAGTCGTTAGGAGAGAGTATGAAGGGAGCGGCTCATCATAAAAACTACATATATTTCGTTTTAAATTATCAAGCTTGCATGTTGTGCTTGTAGGATAGGGTAATACTGGTCCATTATTTTCCTTTTTAAAGAGTATATTGCCGAGGAAGTATTCTTTTAAAGGATCGGATGGGAGCTATTAGCTTAGTCCTGAACTATACGTTTCACAAAGCTTAATCTGTTGGAGATTTAGTTCTGCTATATGGCTCACTATAAATTAATATCTGATTGTAAAAATCAACTTTAACCACCCCTCCCCACAACTGGAAGTTGGTTTATTCCTTCTTTCTCAATTCATTAAGACCTCAGGATGGGAAGCAATATAAGCTGGCCATTCTGAGGGATAATAGTAAATTAAAATTTACTCGTTTTTTATTCTGAAATTTGTGTGAATGATTTTTTTTTTTTTTGTATTTGGGGAGGGGGGGAGCGGGGGGTTGCTGTTTCAGAATCTGAAGTCTATATGCTGTTGCTCAGTCCATCTTCGGTCTATCGTATTTTCATGCATTAGGGAATGCCTGGATTGAAAGCTGAAACTCCTTAGATGTGTTTTTCTGGTCTACGTTATCCCAGTCTGGATCAAGTTGATCAGATTTCATTTTGAATGTTCTTGCAATAAGTGTCTTCCATCTCTTGTGATTTTGTGTTTGGAAAAAAAATACTCTTCCGGTTCTTAATATAAAATCTATTTAACTAATTTGATTAGATTAAGAAAGTTAGGTAAGTGAGTTAATTATAAGAAATATGATATATTTTTCCTAAAACACCATAATTATCTTCCTTAATTTCCCTTCTCTTTCTTCTATTTGATTATGACTGAGAGAGTATATATATAGGTAATGTAAGAAAAATTGATAAATATAAGAAGAAGTTTTATATTTATGATCAAAATCAATTTAACAATTAGATTCTATATTAAGAACTGGAAGAGCATCATGTTTTTGACGGATTCACTTTTGATATGTTGCACACTTTCACATATTATTTGCATACATACCTGTTGAAGAATTTTATTAGATTTGCTTTCTTCATTTCTGTGGCTTATTGTGGTATTTTAAGCTTGTGTCTTCTTTTAGTTATAGGCCTCGTTTGATATCATGTTTAAAAATATTTATAAGCACGTTTTATATAAGTTGAGACAAAATTCTTCTCACATACTCCTCCGGTCCTTATTATAGGACTCCATTTGACTTTTTATTTGGTCCTAATTATAGGACCCCAATCCATTTTGTCTCTTATATTTATGCATTTTTTTCCAAGATAATCCTTCTAATAATGATAGTTTTAACCAATATACTTAATTAGTAAGGATATTTTAAGAATGACAACACTTATTTATTATAAATAACCAACTTAACTTACTTCCTTAATCTCCTCAAATAAGTCAATTGGGTCTTATAATTAGGACCGGAGGAGTACTTATCTTATATTTCGTAAATCATGATTGAAAAACTATTTATGAGTCATTTCAAATGCGCATGTCTTTGTCTCTAGAATTTGTATGAAAAGTTCATTCAGCAATTGACACTTATTATTCCATTTGCACTTATTTATTTTCAATTTGTAGACTTTGGTGAATGTTGCTTCTTTCATGCTTTATCAGAAGTTCTGGTTCTTGGCCATGATAATGCCCAACTCTTCTCTGATGAAAGAATTCTAAGGTGGGCTAAGAGTGCGCAAAGAGACCCGTGAAGTCAGGAGACATGTTCATGTCTCATTGGATTCACATACTCTATATTGTTAGGTCAAATTACTAATTTCTCCCACTGCTATTCAAATTGTCACATGATGTTCTGACATGAAGTGCAGGGGCATGGGAGTAATTTGAATTCCTTACACTGTTGATTATTTGACCGATCATTGACCGATCGTCGAACAATAAAGGAATAATATTTTAATTTTAATGCGCAAGGAAAATACATTTATTTTGTATCTGTTCAATGTCTTTTTACAAAGCAAGATCTGAATATACAAATTCAAAGCCTAAATATAATTTCACAAGAACATTTTTATTATTTATTTTCTGTAAATAAATTATATTATCTCTTATCCTTGATATAAATCATATCACTAGTCACTACCCCCGCTCACAGTAGAAAATGCTAGTGACACATTATTACCGTACAACTGTTCACGTATGAGACAGGCGATAAGCCAAACCACCCGCTCCCCACGCGTCTCTTTTCCTGATGAATCATCACCTCACCATTAACTAGAGCTGTTCACATGATGGATCGGGATCGGGACAAGCCTGTCCCGGTTCCGTCCCGATGAACAGTAACGGAATAAATTTTCTGTCCCGTGTCCCGACCCATCCCGGTCCCGATTGGGATGGGACGGATCCGGGACGGGACCGGGACATCTTGAAAATATATTTTTTTAATTTTTTTTAATGTTTTTAATGTTTTTAATTTTTTTATTTAATTATATTTTTTTGAGCTTAAATCTTATAAAAACATCTTTTTATTTTCTTTTTTATTTGTTTGGACACTTTTAAACAAAAGTTCAAAATATTACATATAATAGTCATTAAAAATTCTAAACAAAAGCTTTTAACACAATAAAAACTTGCTAAAAATTCTAATCATCAATAATCTCAAATCATTAACAAATATAAAAACTCTAAATAAATATATCCATAGTTCCATACAATAGTCTCAAATCTTAAAAAAATATGAAAAAAATGATATTATATAAATAGGATAAAAAATTTAAAATAAAAAGGAACCGGGACGGGACGACCCCGTCCCGTCCCGTCCCGGTTTGTCCCGTCCCGAAAAATTTTAGGACGGATCTATCCCGTCCCAATAAGACCGGGACTAGAACAGGCCGACCGGGACGGGCCGGCCTTGAGCACCCCTACCATTAACTTTACCTACTCATTCTAAAATTACAGTGATACCCCACACAAATTACCACATCTTTTTGACCCAAAAGAAAATTACCACATCCAAAACGAAGTTGTTAAGTGAAGTGATAATTACTCATTTACATTAGCCCTTCAATGTAATTTAACCATGCCAGCAGAACCGGGTTCCCATTTGATGCTCATCAGGTGATGAGCACCTAATGCTCATCAGTTAATGAGTAATCTGGACTGTCCAGATTTAATATTATTAAATAATTATTTTAAAATAGAAAAAAATTATATTTTTAAGAAATGATAGTTAAGAGATTATCTTTATTTTTTATCTTATATCTATTAAAATAATTATTTTTAAAAAATAAAAATAAAAATAAATCTGGACCGTCCACATCATATCTAGACGGTCCAGATCTGATGAGTATTGGGTGCTCATTAAAACTGATGAGCACCCAATGTAAATCCGCAGAAGCGTAGCTAATAAGCCAAGGAGGCTTTATATAACACATGAACCCCCTTTCCGATTCAGCGTCGCGCTGTAAAGGGGAAGAGGAACCATGGCCACTCTGTATGAATGCCCAGTGTGTTCTTGTGGCGCCGGAGTGTGTTGGAAGGGAAAAGAGACAATTGGCCCCAGCGAAGGTCGCTATTTCTTTGCATGCCCTATCGGAGAGGTATACTACTATCTGTTTATAAATTATTATGTTGCGTTTCTGATTCTTTTCATCACTCTCTCTCTTTTGTGCTTGTGTTCTCTGTGTGAGAGATAAGATTCTAGGTGTTTTTTTTTAAATGATTTGCATTTGCTCTTAACTGTTGGTGTATCTATGATTTGTCCCGAGTTATAGCATTTACCCCGTTGAGCAGTTGAGGAATCTAAGTCTGGAGTGACAGAACTGCCTGTTGTTCTTATTTCTGGGCTATTTCCTAGTTACGCTCATTATTGTGTGGAACACACACACACACACAAGTATCAAAATTATGCATTCATAAGTTCCCACTATTCAATCTTCTGAATATTGACAAAGGTATGTTGTGAAACAATGCAATGTGTGTGTCAAATAAAGTCCTACATGGGAAAGATGAGAAGAAGACTAAGTGTATAAATGAGATCAAGCATCCTTGGGGGGGCAAATGGGCCAAGAGGGAAGTGGGCCTCGCGCACACAACGACGGGCCACCAGGAGGGAAACGCAGTTGTAAACTGGCGATTCCCCCCCTGCGCGTGAATAAGATGTGACAACGCCTCATTTTGCAAAAATTATTTTAAACTTTTTTGACTTGTTAAAAATAAAAAGGCTTGCCGTCTTGTTTTGTGGCCGGCCAGACGCGTCCTGCGGAGTGCTTTTGAACGTTGAGTGCACCAACGTTCAGATCGTCCCGTGTCTAGCGGAACCTTGCGTCGTTTTCGTCACACCTGTTTGGCGAAACGGAGGGACGCGTTCTTCGGTAGGGTGGCCATTCGCGTCTATATAAGGGATTGTCCAGACAGCGTGAGATAATCGCTCGTCCGTCCTCTTCCTCTACTCTCCCTTTGTGTTTCTTGTTACGATTGCTTTCGCTGTTCTGCCACCTTGCTTCGCAGGAAGGGTTCGTTTGATCCTAGGGAGTGCCGCTGCCTGTTACATCGGAGGGCTGCGGAATATCTCTCAAGGACAGTGTCCTTGCGACGTGACTCGAACCGGATTTCTCTGTTCCTTCTTTGCTGCCGCCAACAATCTTGAGAGATAGTCTGAACTATGGCTGAAAACAACGACGCCGTCGTTGGCTCCAGTGTTGTTCCTGTCAGCGTTCCCCTGAATGTCCCGGCAGCCATACCGCTTCCAAGGCCATTCCCTGATACGTCCAAGATAGAAATGTTCGATGGAAACAACTTCAGGCAGTGGCAAGAACGTGTCTACACAATTCTGGATATGCATGGAGTTGTTAGTGCGCTGACTCAATCAGAACCTGCTCCAGATGCTGATCAAGGACAGAAGGATTTATGGCAACATGCCAACAAAGTATGCAGGCACACTTTGATCAGCACACTATCTAATGATTTATTTGATATCTACAGTGTCTATAAAGAGGCAAAGCAAATATGGGAGTCATTGGTTCTCAAATATACTGCCGAGGACGCTGGGAAGCAGAAATTTGTGGTCGGAAACTTCTATAGGTGGGAGATGACCGACGACAAAGACATCAAACTTCAGATCAATGAATATCACAAATTACTGGAGGAAATTTGGGCTGAAAAGATCAATCTTCCTGACGAGTTCGTCGCTGGAGTCCTGATTGAAAAACTACCAACCTCATGGAACGACTACAAACAACAACTGAAGCATAAACAGAAACAATTGTCTCTTACCGGTTTGATCACTCACATCATCATT